ATTGTCCTATGAGGAAATATTGAATTGACTGGATTGGTAGTCCAACAGTTTAAAAGAACGAGAGATTATCTCATTGGAACATACAAAATTCTTACAGGACTAGTCGGAGTAGATATCAGAAGGATGTTTCCCCGGCTGGGGGGTTCTAGAACAGTTCCAGTAGAAGAGGCAGACGACTTTGACCAGAAATGAAGCGAAATTTCTTCATTTAAAAAGGGTGGAGAATCCTTGGAATTCTCTCCTTCAGAGGACTGGGGAGACTCGGTCATTGGTATATTCAAGACAGACACTGATAAGTTTCTGATATTAAAGATGTTAACAGATATAGTGACTGTGCGGGAAACAGTGAGGAATAGGCTGAAAGTGCTGATGGTCTTATTCCTGTTCCTATTTCCTAAGCTCCTACGCTAACAACAAGAAGCCATTAACTGTGTTTGGAGAAAGTGAAGGAGATGACAAAATCTCCCATGCCATTTTATGAAGCAGTTTTCTCTTTCTCCAAATTATCCACGAGTTGGGAGTATGCTGGGGTTTGATGACCTTTTGGGCATTTTACAAACTGTTTTAAGGTTTTAATGTGTAAGATCTACACTATCAGTCGAGACACTAGCAATAATATTGAATGCAAAAAACTCCTTCCCTAGCAGTTGACCTAATGCCCAAAGGGCAGAGAGAGATCGAGGACATTTAAGTTACTAGAATGTGCCTCTAACCTCACCTTCCATGTATTTCCAGCATTTGCTTTTTGTCGTAAGGCAGAGGTTCTGTGAAAATAAAATTTTAATAACCTGCTTAATGTTTTATTTCTGTTTAAAAACCTAAGTTGGACTAAAAATGTGAGGAGCAGCACAAGATATCATTTCACAGTTGGGGTGGTGTGGTGTAATTTTAGACAAGGCAATTTTTACAGCAAGATGATACTCTGAACAAAGAACTGTACAGCACAGGAACAGGCCCTTCAGCCCACCAAGACCGCACCAACACATAATGCCTTTCTAAACTAAAAACCTTTTGCACTACATGGTCCGTATCCCTCTATTTTCTGCCTTTTCATATATCTGTCAAGATGCCTCTTAAACATTGCTATTGTATCTGACTCCACCAGCTCCTCTGGCAGTGCATTCCAGGCACTTACCACCCTCTGTGAATTAAAAAAAAAACTTGCCTCACACATCCCGTTTTACCTTAAACTTATGTCCCCTAGTAACTGACATTTCTATCCTGGGAAAAAGGCTCTGGATATCCATTCTATCCATTGCCTCTCATAATTTTGTAACTATCAGGTTGCCCCTCATCCTTTGACATTCAAGTGTAAACAAACCAAGTTTGTTCAATCTAAACTAGGCAACATCTTGGTAAAAAATTCTGCACCTTCTCCAAAGCCTCCATATCCTTCTGGTGATGTGGCAACCAGAGCTGTAAGCAATATTCCAAATTTTGTCTAACTAAAGTTCTGTGCAGCTGCAACATGGCTTGCCAATTTTTATATGCCATGCCCCAAGTGATGAAGGCAAGCATGCCATATGCTTTCTTGACCACTTTGTCCGTTTGTGTTGCCACTTTCAGGGAACTGTGGACTTGTACGCCCATTGTATGGTGATGGTCCTCAGGATTCAGCCATTTACTGTATACTTCCCCCCGGAATTACATCTCCCAAAATCCATTACCTCACGTTTGTCTGGATTAAATTCCATCTTCTATTTCTCCGTCCACGTCTCCAGCCTATCTATATCCTGCTGTATCCTCTGGCAATCCTTCGTACTATCCACATATCGCCCAATTTTGTGCTGTCCGGAAACCTGTACTCTCTTTCAAATCATTTATATACATTACAAACAAGAGGGGTGCCAGCACTGATCCCTGCATAACACCACTGGTCATAAACTTCCAGTCTGAAAAACACCCTTTCACTATTACTGAGATAACAAGGTGTAGAGCTGGATGAACACAGCAGGCCAAGCAGCATCAGAGGTGCAGGAAGGCTGACGTTTCGGGCCTAGACCCTTTACTTTCTGTTTTCTATGACTAAGCTAGTTCTGTATCCATCTTACTAGCTCAATGTGGATCTCATGTGACTTCATCTTTTGTATCAGCATGCCACGAGGGACCTTGTCAAAGGCCTTGCTAAAGCCCAGGCAACATCGACTGTCCTGCCCTCAATCATCTTTGCCACTTTCTCAAAAACACTTGTAACAACCCTGTGACACTTTCAGATTGTCACTTCTGATGCCAGTTATTTAAAACATCTTTAAATGAAAGTACACATTCTCATCAGAATTTGTAGCTCCGGAAAGGCACAGTCCAGTTGCTGTGTTGGATTCAGTATTGCAGCTTCAGCAGTAGTGGGCATG